ATTTGGTGAAGATACTGTCCCAGGTTCAGACAATCAACCCCTACCAAGGACGTCAGTCATTTGATATACGTCCAATTAACCTTTGAAAACTCCTAATGACAAAAATAAGCTATTTTAATTGTAAATAAATATATACTATATTTTATTATATCAAGATATCAGCATTCCCATCCATACTCTACATTTATAATTTTCAAAGTAGATTACCTGGGGACATTTATTTTAAAGTTTTAATTGCTTCTTTTTAGGTGTAAGATCATTATCAAGCATTTTACTAACTGTATACCTTAGATTGAAGGATTAATTTCACAAATCCAACTCACCCTGTGCTCCCACTGCAGACAAGCATCATAGGAGAAGCATAATATTTACAATAACACTATTTTGGTTTCACAGTAACTTCTTTCGAGGAGCATCAAGTTCCTTAGAGTCATTATCTAAATAATTCTCTTGACAAATATAGCAGGTAGGACAAAAAGTTAAAAAACATAGGAAATGATTGAATTCCTGCTATGATTAGGGTTTTAATGATGGAGTCAAACTCATCAGTTAATAGTGAGCCACTGGTCAAAATAACAAATTAAAGGAAAGTTTGTAATTTAGGGGCATTTTCAAGGGAAAATTCGGCTGGTTATCAGAAATTAACATTCCCCTGCTTTATATTTTAAGATCTTCTTCCAATCAGTGAAACGTCTTTTTAAATTACAGCACAGAATTGATAACATTTATATTATGCATATAATATTACCAGTTTCAGGGTCCTGGTTTATGTTATCTGTAAGGGACTTAGAATCCATCCTGGATCAGATATTATCCCCAATGTCCAGACTACAATTTTTACCCAGATGTTCTAAGGTCATGGGAAACTATGTTGCCTTTCTCCCAAGCTTTGGGGAACTAAGCAGTGTTTCAAGGAGACAGCCAATTGGGCAAGTTTAAATATTAGACCATCTGTTGCTAAGCCACCCCAATCACATACGTTCCCACACCATATGATATATTAAATTAAATAACTGTCTCGGAAAACATGAACTTTATATTATATAAGTTAATATGAAAATGGGTTACAAACAATTTTATTCACAAGCATCTGTTGATCACTTTTTATGTGCCAGGCATTATATTAAGTGTTCAGATATATTGAATCATAATCTATACAAGCTTTCATTAATTTCTTTGGGTATTTAATTTCACAGAGTGTTACCAAGTGCCACCCTAATCTTTAATAGTCCTTCTGTAAAATTTATAATATAGGACAAGAACTCATATCACATTAAGATAATGAAATTGCCGGAATATGCTCTATAACATGCACATCAAGCACTGATACTCTCAATTTCCTAAATACCTCATTTGCCAAGTTTTTGGTTTCATAGCATCATTGAAATTCTGAAAACTGATATGTGAGATTTTGGGGTGAACTAGTTTGTATACTTTGCTTTCCAACTTTCCCAGATTCTCCAGCAGTTATTGAATTTGTGGATGGTCCTTGCTATCTTATATTCAGTCTTGTTACTACCAAAGTTGACCCTGCTCTGGCAGTGAACCATCTCTTACCTTGCAGGAGGCCCTTGGCTTGGCCTGTTTTTCACAAGACTGATGTGTGTAGCAAAACTTGCACAAATTTCACCAACATGAGGGTTTGATGGTGTGAAAGGGAAACCAAAATTCTTCCACTGATAGAGTATATATTATTTTCTTTCTTCTTTTTAGAGATTTTCCTTTTTTTGGCTAAAGAGATGCTTCATGGTCTTCACCTCATTTGCTAATGATTCTACTCAAGTGTTGAGTTCCAGCCTCCATTACAAGTCCTGTAATAAAATCTTTTAAAAGACATGTTATCTTACCTAATCCTCAAAACTAGTAGGTATTATAGAGTCAAAAAGGCTCTAGGGCTTTGTTGTACAATACAGCAGCCACGAGCCACACGCGGCTATTGAGCACATGAAACATGGCTAGTCCAAATCGAGATGTGTTTTAAGTGTAAAATATATACTGTATTTTGAAAACCTGGTATGGGAAAAATGTAAATTATGTCATTAGTAAATTTTTATATTGATTACATGTTGAAATGATAATATTCTGGATACATTGGGATAAATAAACTGTATTATTAAAGTAATTTTACCTATTTTATTTTTACTTTTTTAATGTGGCTACTAGAAAATTTAAAATTAGATATGTGGTTCAAATATTTTTGTGGGAGAGCACTGCCCTAAAAGCTGCAAAGCTTCTGATACAGGAAGGAATCTCAGTCTTTTTGCTTAGAATTACAAACACTTGAAGTTTATATTTTTAGAGGAGGGGTGTAAAACTTTCAATTGCCCTGAACAAGATAAACAGATATCAGGTGGGTTCCTGAAAATTAGTAGAGCGGTCAACCTTAGACAAAAGCAAGCTAAAAGGAATAATTAGATCACAGTCAAAAGACTTAACAAAGTTAAAAAAAAGAAAGAAAGGAAAGAACAGGACCAGGGTAAATTAGATCAATGAAATCATATCAGTGTCTAAGATAATAAAGTGCAATGAGAGAGGGACCACAATGGCTACAGACAGGGAAGGACATGCTGGTGTGGCTTAGGGATGTACATGATGGTGGGGCTGTGTGACCTCAGGCCCTAGGGGTGAGACAACTGGAAAGAAGGTAGGTAGAGTTATTACAATCAGTTATCTGCGTTGGTATCTCAGATCTATCTAGTTAGGAAGTGGCTCTGCTCTCATGCCTCAGAACAATGGTGTGAAACAGACATCATAAATACCGTGAACTCCATCAAACTTGAATGGTTCTGTTACTGGATGCATTGTCACAGTGAGAAGTCTGTGGTCTTTACTATTTCCACCAGACCCACGAGGAAACTGACGGTCAGAGGGGTTAAGCAATTTGCTCAAATCATGAAGCTAGTAAGAGACGACGTTAGATTTTAACCCAGTTCTGATTTTAAGTCTCATTGTTACCTTCTGTGTTCTTCCTCCCCTATCAAAGAAGATACAGTTTCTGCCTTTAAGTACCTCTCAGCCTAGTGAAGAAGTATTTATTGTTTTAAATTACAAATTATTTATTATAATCTGGACTCAATATGTCCTTTTTGGTTAGTTTGATGTTTCCTATGTTATTTTAAAATGCGCTCAGAATGTAAAGTGATCTAATGTAGTTCCTTGTCCAAGAAGTTTAATGTCTTGTTTTTGCATGGGAACAGATCTTAAGGACACGTCTTCGTGATTAAATTGGCATAGGGAACCAATTTGGCCTAGGGAAGTTTGTGGCTTAGAGTAAGGTGGTTCTGATTATAGTCTTTGGTGTTGATTGCTCAGTTCACTAGAATGATTGCTCCAATAGTGTCTCTTTCTTGCTTTCCCTTCTGCTTTAGATCTGAGTTTGTTGTAATCAGATTCTCACTTTTCCTGATTTTTATTGTGAAGGACCGATTTTTACCTATCTCTGCAATCTTATTGATTAGCCCAGTGTCTAGCACAGAGTTGATGCCTTGTCATCCATTCATGATATGAACACGTTTCTATGTAGTAAACATTTAACAAATAGAAATTGACTCTCTCTCATGGGCTAGGCAGGGCCCTGGGGATAGAATAGTATATATGGTTGTATGCCATTCTTGCAATCTGATAGGAGACAATGACACATCAGTGTGATAAACCTTGCCCATGTGTAAGCAAAGGGTGCTGTGGGAACACCTGGTTTGGTAAAAAGTTGAAAGATTTCCAGAGGAATTGCTATTTAAGCTGAGACCTCAGGGAAGAAGGCAAACAGAGGGAAAGGATTAGGGGACTGGTGGACAAGGAAAGGCATTCCTAGCAGAAAGAATGACAGCTAAAGACACTCTGGACTTGGAATTGTTCAGTTTGGAGTTTGGTTGGAGGGCATTGCCGGGAGAAGGGGTGAGAGTAAGAGGAGTGTGGGGAGAGAAGGGATAAGGGAGAAATGTTCAATCAACGTTGAAGGAATTATTTTAAAAAGCAATATACCACACAATGCAATTCATTAAGAATTTCTAAGATGACTTATTTAGAGTATACATTTTAGACCATTTTATCTTATAAGCATATTTTATGTAATTAAAAAAATTAAAATGGATTTCAACCTGATAATATGGGAGACCTCATATTCATAAATACATATGCATATGTATTATAAATCCACTTCATTATGATTCTATGGTCTGTACTATACTTATCGTTAGGGACATTTACCTCATGATAAATGGGCCTCATTAGTAGTGGTTTGAGGCATTATTATTTATTCATCTATAAAGGTTATGAAGCTTCTATTAATTCATTTTCCAGGAATAATTATTTTAAACTCCAAATGCTTTCTGATGAAGCTTTTATATGAAGAAGGTTAAAATAAATTCTACTTCTTAATTTGATCAGTTTATAAATTAGGAGGGAGGCAATAGGCTTGAATAACAGAATTGCATGAAGATACATATTGCAAACTCAATTTTAAGTCTTAGTCCTTTGGCAAAGATATTGTGTTCTTTCACTGGTCCATTAGGTTCTCTCAGTCTCTGGTAATTTAACTTCAAAACTGATATAACATTTTCTGTTGACGTGGCTTATAAGGATCAATGAATAAAATATAGTTTGCAATACTCCAAAGAATAATGTATTATTTATAAAAATTTGAAGTTACAACTGTTATCTCAAATCCAGTTCTTTTGTTTGTTTGTTTGTTTGGTGGATTCAAAGAGAAGGAATCCTAAGTAGGTGTTTAGAATTTTTTAAAAACATTAAAATCTGTACAGGGGCTGGCCGGTGGCACAGTGGTTAAGTTCGTGTGCTCTGCTTCACTTTAGCAGCCCCAGGTTTGCCGGCTGGGATCTTAGGCGTGGAACTACATACCACTCATCAAGCCATGCTATGGCAGCATCCCACACAGAAGAACAAGAAGGACTTACGACTAGGATATACAACTATGTACTGAGGCTTTGGAGAGAAAAAAAAAAGAGGAAGATTGGCAACAGATGTTAGCTCAGGGCCAATCTTCCTCACCAAACAAGCATAAAAAAACCCTGTACATTATTTTAATCTGTTAATGGATAAAGTTCATCTGTAATATTATTATGATAATTTTTGAAGCAAACTGCTTGGTGCCACAGTATACTCATTTCATTTTTGTTATTTATAAATCAATGATTCTTTACCTTTCTGAACCCAAAAGGATGCTCCAGGATGAAAGATTTCTCATTTGCATTTCTATCCTCACTCTCTATCACAAATAATGCTGATCCTGCAGACTATTCCTGAGCTATGTACAAATGGATATTAAGGTGAGCTTAAATTCACATAATTTTCATTTGTGACCTGACTCTTGGGGTTAGAAGACTAATAAAACATAAGCCACTTCTCTTGCCTTATGGAGTTGAAAAGGAAATGGAGAGATTAATGAAAAGACTGATCAGGATTGGAAACTAGGAATAAATAGAGTAAGTTTCCTCCCTGGATCCCACGCCTCCTCCATAAACATTTATTAAGGATCTACTACGAATCAAATCCTGAAAAAGTCAAAGAAGAAAACAGTCACGTTACATGCAAAGCTTTATCAGTTTTGTGAACTGAAATCAGATTTTAGTTGTAAAGAATCTTCAACTATACGTAGCACATGAAGTTAAATATGCAATCATGACGTTTGATTGTAATAGAGCTTCGCGCATTTCCCTGTCACTTCAAAAACTATGGTAAAAGGACTACAAGAGCTTCACGCCCACGTGGTCTTCTTGCAATCACTGCTCGCACTCCAACATTTGCAGTAATTTCAGATTAGGAGCCTAGCATTTTTGTTATAATACAAACCTTTCGGCTCCCCACTCCTTTCCGCCTTGATGTAAGCGTAAAAAAACAGTTTTACTGGGCGAACAGGGCCGAGGGAGGTAAGGAAGGAAGGGAGAGACGAAAGGAGGGAGGTATGGAGGGAGGGAAGGACGGAAGCAGGGAATGAAACGAATGGAGGAGAGAAGCTGTCCTTTTTCCCATTTGTTTTCGGTTTCCTGCCCGCTTCTCCGCCAGCTGCCCAGTAGCATCTCCTCCTGGCTTGGTGCCCGGCCCCGCCCCCTAGCGTCGGAGCCAGGCAGCCAGGGGATGGCGCGTATCTCTTTAAATGACAGCTGTGGCTCGGGTCCCAGTACCCGGCTTGACGTCAGTGCCGCCTCCCAGGCTGCAAGGAGTAGTTAGCGCCGCCGTCCGCGCTCGGGGCTCGAGGCGCTCTCGCAAGCTGCCGGGGCGGCGAGTTTTCTTTGCTCCGGCCCCTCCTCCCGCCCTCCCCGCGGAGAGCCGAGCGCAGCCCGGGAGCCTCTTGCAAGTCTCTCTCACACTTCCCCGCCGTCGCCCCAGAGGAGCAGCCGCTCCTCCTCGCGCCGCCACCCCGCCGCCGCGCCCGCGGAGCTCCTCTCCCGCGCTTCACTCCCTCGATGGAGCCCGGGCGCCGCCGCCGCTGCCCCGAGCCCTGAACCGGGCCGCCCCGGCCGGAGGAACGTGCCGCCCGGCCCGAAGGTGCACCAGGCGCGCAGGGCGCGGGCTTCGGCAACGAGAAAGTGCTGCTCTCCCGGGTCACCTGGCCGGCGGCGGGGGGACCATGGCTTTGAAGGACACGGGCAGCGGCGGCAGCACCATCCTGCCCATTAGCGAGATGGTCTCCTCGTCCAGCTCGCCCGGCGCGCCGGCAGCCGCCGCCCCCGGGCCCTGCGTGCCCTCGCCCTTCCCCGAGGTGGTGGAGCTGAACGTGGGAGGCCAGGTCTATGTGACCAAGCACTCGACGCTGCTCAGCGTCCCGGACAGCACTCTGGCCAGTATGTTCTCGCCTTCTAGCCCCCGGGGCGGCGCCCGACGCCGGGGCGAACTGCCCAGGGACAGCCGGGCGCGCTTCTTCATCGACCGGGACGGCTTCCTCTTCAGGTACGTGCTGGATTATCTGCGGGACAAGCAGCTCGCGCTGCCCGAGCACTTCCCCGAGAAGGAGCGGCTCCTGCGCGAGGCCGAGTACTTCCAGCTCACCGACCTGGTTAAGCTGCTATCGCCCAAGGTCACCAAGCAGAACTCGCTCAACGACGAGGGCTGCCAGAGCGACTTGGAGGACAACGTCTCGCAGGGCAGCAGCGACGCGCTGCTGCTGCGCGGGGCGGCGGCCCCCGCGCCCTCGGGCCCCGGAGCGCACGGCGGCGGCGGTGGCGGCGGCGGCGCGCCGGACAAGCGCTCGGGCTTCCTCACGCTGGGCTACCGCGGCTCCTACACCACCGTGCGCGACAACCAGGCGGACGCCAAGTTCCGGCGTGTGGCGCGCATCATGGTGTGCGGGCGCATCGCGCTGGCCAAGGAGGTCTTCGGGGACACGCTCAACGAGAGCCGCGACCCCGACCGGCCGCCCGAGAAGTACACGTCCCGCTTCTACCTCAAGTTTACCTACTTGGAGCAGGCGTTCGATCGCCTGTCCGAGGCCGGCTTCCACATGGTGGCGTGTAACTCCTCGGGCACCGCCGCCTTCGTCAACCAGTACCGCGACGACAAGATCTGGAGCAGCTACACCGAGTACATCTTCTTCCGTAAGTTCGCGGGCTCCGCGTTTCCTCTTTCTCCCCGCCCCCTCGCCCACCCGCGGCGGGCTCGAGCCGGGCTGGAACGCGGAGCTGGCCGCTGTCCCGGGCCGGAGCTGGTTAACTAACGCGCGCAAGGGGCTCTCCGTGCACACATTGTTGACGCAGCAGATATGATTTACGGTTTCGCCCTTTGCCGCCTCCCTTTGACCTCCTTCTTCTCCAGCTCGGGAGCATGCAGTTCCCACGCAGTCCTCCTTAACTTTGTTGTTCTTGCCCTCTCGCCCCTCCCTGATCCTGGAGGCGCGGGGCACCCTTCTACTGCGGAGGGCGGGGAGGAGGCGAGAGACCAAGGCTGGGCGCAGAGGTCCTCTCCTCTCCGCCCGGCAGGAATCCTGGGGGTCAACTTGTGTGGCTTTCGGTGGTGTCCCTCCAAAGGGCAGCTTGGCATCCCGGCGTTGCGGGCGCCGCCGGGATTACCTGCTGTTGCGGCCGGTCAGACGCAGGAGCGTCCAATTACGAGTAGTTTCAGAAGGGGGCAACCAGAGAAGTGACGACTGTGTGTACTTCCTGAGCCCATGAGGGGGCCTGGGCGTGAGAGCGGCTGGTGGGAAAGGGGTCTCCATCGACCCGTAGAAACCTCAGATTTCCCCCCAGCCAGTTGTCATCTGCAAGTGCTAGGTGTTTTGGGCAGCGGAGGGTGCAGGGAACTAGAGTTTGGATGTATGAGCACTGCTGTCAGGCGTGGAGATTAGAGAGAGACATGGGGAGTGTGTGTGTGTGTGTATGTGTGTGATTGTGTTTCCTTTCTAAGCATCTCAAGTGCAAAAATGGGATTGAGTCCCCTTTCCCAGGGGGAATAAATGCAGTCATTTTCTGAAACTAGAGAAGGAGGGAGAGGATTTGGAAAGTATTTCGCATGATGCTTTTTGTAGGGCGCTTCAGGAGGGGGCTCTGTGGCTCAAGTCCAAGAACTCCACCAAATATCACTGGGGCTTGGGGGATGGGGAGGCGGGGCGGGCGCAATTTTCAGTGACGTTTATCAAGTGAGGAGGGCGACAACTAGAGGGCTGTTTGGACAAACGAAAAACCAGCTGGGATGGCAGCAAGAACATCATTTGGCAAACTTTTTTTTTTTTTTTTTTTTGGCAGGACACGTGATGCTTTGAAAGTTGCCTGTTTGTTTGAGAGTAGCACTGACAGCCTATGATAGAAAGAGAACAGCTTTAATTTTATTTATTTATTTTGGTAATTCAGTCGCTGTTTGGGAACTAGACAAGTTTTAGCGCTTTATTTTGACTGGAGAAGTGGAAAGGATTTCTTGCACAGGTGCCATCCTGACAGAAGGGCGGCTCATTGTTGTTCGTTCTAGTAACCTTCGAACCAGGGTGACAAAAACACAGCACACTGGATCTTAGAGTTAGATTCTCTTTTTTGATAGTGCTGGATTTCCTGAGAAAACCATTTCAACAGAGAAGCAAAGAAAGTGTCCACTGAAGTGGTAGATAAAAACATAATTGTCTTAATTATATCAGTGTTATTTGTTACACAGTAAAAAGATTGCTAGAAAAGCCACCAAAAGGAAGATAATATGTTATTGCTTATAGTATAAAATTGTGATCTCTTCAATGTATATTAAATAATTAAGCTATTTTTTAGTATCATTCTTTACATTTTATCCCTTATCAATGGGATCTTTATTAATGTTTTAGATTTTAAACATTTATGTCATTTCAACATGGATATATTTCCAAGCATTTCAGAAGATGAGATGAAATGAACTTTTGACTTTCTTGTGGTTAGTGATTTTTGTTAGAGAACATATAAGCATAAGTGTTCTGCAGTTAAGGTTCTTGCATTTTGGAATCTTTCAGAGTTTTGGTCTTTTTTTTTTCCCCCTAGAAAGTTGTGAACTTAAAAATGTGTATTACTTTGATTATGAGGTGATAATACAGGTTGTCTTGAAATTATGAAAATATGCTCTTAAAAATATATTGAAGTTGGAAGCTCAGTCAATTTAACTAATAAGATAATTTGAGAGATATTTGGAATTCAGAATATTTCACTTCTGGAGCTAGAAGACGTGTTAAACAACATAAAATAATTAATATTGTGAATAGCCATTTGCAGAGACTCACATACTTAATGAGCTCTGAGATTCATTCATAAAAATCCCAGAAATCTAAGGAAGAAACTCATAGCCTTCTTCATTGATTATCCTGTGGGGGGAAATAGGCAATTTCAGATTAAACGTTATTCTTTTGAAGTGGTATTCTACTCATTGACTAACCAAATGTAGTTGCCATTTTTTGTTTAGGTTGTAAAATTTATCTTGAATACTATTCTACATACATTTATTTTGTGTTTTGTATAGGTTGCAGCATATTTTCACAAATTATTTTGGATAGGATTCCTTAAAATATTGGTGAATAAAAATAATACTGTAAAATTTTTGTATTTCCATCCTATTCAGTTTAGGTAATGACATAAGTATAGAGAGTATAATTATCTTATTTAGCAACTCTATTTAAAAAGAGTGTCAGTGTTATTCATCAAAACAAAATTATTGGATGAACTTGTTTGTCCCCTGTGTTTCAGATGCAGAAGAGGGCCTTGTTGTCTTTTATTTCTCCCTTTGACAGTTCTTTCAACAAATGAAAGAATTGCTGCTCTAAAAAGCATAGAATTGTAGTTTATACACTTGAACATCAATTTCAGCTCCTCATTCCCCTCATGCCCCTTTACCCTGGTTTCCATATAGATGGGAAGAGAGGGGCAGATGGTTCAGTAATCTCAGACACTCCTGTTTGCCAAACGTGTGATCTTAGTTAAATTATTTACTTTCTCTGTGTCTCAGTGTCCTCACCTGTATAATGGGGGGTATTATATTACCAATTTTATAGGATAAATGTAAAGTGTTTAGACCAGTGCTTGACCTATAATAAAAGCTTAACAAATGTTAGCTGTTACAATTATAAGTAATATAGTACAGACTTTATTATTTTTGTCAATATTAAATTTTAATTTTTTTATAGTAAGTATAGTTGATTTAATTGTAAAGTTAATTAGAAAATTATTTTGCAATTAAGTGATTACATAATAAACTTTCAGAAGTTTGAAACAACCAATTTAATAACCATCTTCTTTCCTGGAACTTGGATTTTTCACACCAAGTTCAAATCACCTGGGTTTACCAGTCATCCTCCAGTTAGTTTTTTGGGATTAACTCCAGCAGAACTCTTTTCTGATTCAGGGCCAAGAAGTATTTTAACACTCTCTACTAGGACTTGAAACTTTGGCAATATTTTCCAACAAACACTCAACTAGATTCATATCTCCTTAAGTGCTTGTATCCAAGTCATTGGGTTCTAATGCTCAAGGTTATATATAGGCTATTAAACATTAATGCCAGCTTCATTTGGCGACATGGGCACTTTTATTTATTCTCAGTCTTAACTCATTATTTTATCAAGTCTTTTAGACTTTAGACATTAGTACATAAGCATATACTAGTACTATTAAATTCCATATTACTCTTCTAATAGTGAAGATGGATTGTCCTTTCTTGAAGGCAAACAGAGTGATTTATTGTGCTTTCTGTTTTTCATGGGGTGTCTTTTAAGTGTAGTTGTGGCTGTTTTAGCAGGATCTAGAAGCAAAAAAAGGCATTTTATGTTGGCATTGTATTACATAGACAATAGGTAGTTATATGCTTGGAATGTTGTATGTGGAGACTACCCATAGTTAAAGTTAGCATTATATATCTCCTTTATTTCTCATAGTCGGTGAGTTTACAGAAAGATAGTACTGATTTATTGTTCATTTCTTATAGTGCTTTGAGTTTTGTACTCCATGTGTTTGGTATATCCTTTTTTCGTTGTGATGTATGAGAGTGCCAGATTTAGGAATTAATGCTATTCCTGAACTGGGCTGTGAAATCTAATTTGTCTTAATGGATTTTATATCCACTTCTTCAAATTCATTCTGATTTATTTCGCTGTTTTGGGTTGAAGAAATCTAGTTGAGTTGAACACGTTCAAACAGCTATTCAATCCCATGTTAGCAGGCCTGTTGGGTTAAACGCTTTCTAAGAAACATCTTTAAAAGTTGATCTGTCTTGATGCATACCTTTAAAATTGTATATTGTTTTCTAGTTTAAAAATACTTCTACTTGTATCACCAAACACAGTTTTATGGAACAGAATTTTGTTAATTATTTCTTTTTTAAGATGGTTCTTTTCTTCTTGAAGATTTACTAGTTGTTTTTATAATTATAAGGGGAAAATTTCTTCTGCAACCACATGGCTGGATGACTTTTGAAACAGTGGGGAAAAAATAAAAGGAATGGATAAAGTTTTAAAACACCAAGATTCTGATTTCGTGCAAACAGTTGCAGTAATAAAGGAGAGAGACATTTACAGAAACCTTGGAGTGCAAAAAGTTTGGAGGCTGTGCTGTGGCGTTGGCTGCTGTTTAAGGGCATTAAACTTTGATGTCTGCAATAGCACTGGCTCTAAACTTGATCTTTTTTCTAGGGTTATGGCTTTAGCTTTCCCCGCCACCCTTTCTACATCTTCTTGTTGCTCAACTGTTATGCAGTTAATGAAGCTGAAAGACTGAATGGCATTACAAGACTTATTTGGCAAAGTTCTTTCTCTTTTATAGCTTAGAGTGCTGGAACTCAGAATTTGTGTGTATGTGGGTGAGTGTGTGAGTAAGCCTTAGTTAGAAAGAAAAAAATAATCTCTTTGACAAAAAGAAATAATCTGTATGAAATTATCATCAATTATTATCTATTCTATTGTCATAAATTATTAGTTGACATTAGTAAAAAATGGGAAAATTATTGCCCACTTGTCATTTCAAAACTAACCCTTTTTTATTAGGAAAGTAATAACATGCAGTTTTAGTAATATTAAAAAAGTAAAATTTAAAAAATCACCACCAGTAACTGCTAATAAAATCTTGATTCATTTCCTTTCAGTCTTTTTTTCTGTGCAAATGTAGAT